CAGATGACACCCGAATCTGCATGACAGTGTCTTCCATTGCAGACACTGCAAAGCTCCAGGCGGACATCAACCAAATCTTTCAGTGGGCTGCAGAAAACAATATGAAGTTCAACGATGAGAAATTTCAATTACTCAGATAAGGTAAACATGAGGAAATTAAATCTTCATCAGAGTACAAAACAAATTCTGGACAAAATAGAGCGAAACACCAACGTCAAAGACCTGGGAGTGATCATGTCGGAGGATCTCACCTTCAAGGACCATAACATTGTATCAATCGCATCTGCTAGAAAAATGACAGGATGGATAATGAGAACCTTCAAAACTAGGGAGGCCAAGCCCATGATGACACTCTTCAGGTCACTTGTTCTATCTAGGCTGGAATATTGCTGCACACTAACAGCACCTTTCAAGGCAGGTGAAATTGCCGACCTAGAAAAAGTACAGAGAACTTTCACGGTGCGCATAACGGAGATAAAACACCTCAATTACTGGGAGTGCTTGAGGTTCCTAAACCTGTATTCCCTGGAACGCAGGAGGGAGAGATACATGATTATATACACCTGGAAAATCCTAGAGGGACTAGTACCGAACTTGCACACGAAAATCACTCACTACGAAAGCAAAAGACTTGGCAGACGATGCACCATCCCCCCAATGAAAAGCAGGGGTGTCACTAGCACGTTAAGAGACCATACAATAAGTGTCAGGGGCCCGAGACTGTTCAACTGCCTCCCAGCACACATAAGGGGGATTACCAACAGACCCCTGGCAGTCTTCAAGCTGGCACTGGACAAGCACCTAAAGTCAGTTCCTGATCAGCCGGGCTGTGGCTCGTACGTTGGTTTGCGTGCAGCCAGCAGCAACAGCCTGGTTGATCAGGCTCTGATCCACCAGGAGGCCTGGTCACAGACCGGGCCGCGGGGGCGTTGACCCCCGGAACTCTCTCCAGGTAAACTCCAGGTAAGTAAGCGTACATAAGATAAGATAAGATAAAATAAGATTTCGTTCGGATTTTTAGCCCCGGAGGGTTAGCCACCCAGGATAACCCAAGAAAGTCAGTGCGTCATCGATGACTGTCTAACTTATTTCCATTGGGGTCCTTAATCTTGTCCCCCAGGATGCGACCCAAACCAGTCGACTAATACCCAGGTACCTATTTGCTGCTAGGTGAACAGGACAACAGGTGTAAGGAAACGTGTCGAAATGTTTCCACCCGCCGGGAATCGAACCCGGGCCCTCCGTGTGTGAAGCGGAAGCTTTAGTCACAAAAGTTTTATAAAGACTGGCCAACAAACAAATAAATAAAAAATATGTATATTGATCATTGGATTTGGCAGCCACACGCGACGTAGTGGCACTGCCAGACGTGTGTTTGACTCCCTACTCAAACAACGCTAAACTGATTTTACCATGAATACAAATACTCTAGTGTACGTTAATTTCTTCCCTCAAAAATAAATAAATAAATAAATAAAGTTGGTAATTTTTTTAAACTTAGTAAAATGTCTGCCCTTTATCCCCGACTAATTGTGCTATTGCCATTTTTTTCACCAGTCTGTTAAGCCGTGAAAATTCTTTCAGCTCGTTCATTATTAATGAAAGTGCTTCAATGTATATGTCAATAACTTATTTACCAGATATCCAGGGAAATGCAGCCGAATACTTTACTCAAGAACATTTTTTTTTTTTTGAGGGATGAAGAGGGGGGGGAGGGGGAGAAAATCGCGCTATACCAGATACCAGATATACTTAGCAAATTTCCTAAATTTGCTAAGTATAGATAAGTGAACTGTAAATATGTGGATATAAATCCAAATATACACCTGTTAACCCTTTTGGGGCCTAGCTCCTAGGCCTTTTGTGTATCCATATTCTCTTGTGCTACCGTCCACAGGATGGATATGGGGTGCACAATAAACTAGCCACTTCGGTGGCAAAAATCTAAAAAAAAAATCTAGACTACAGGAGTGTTGTACAACAGTCTGCCCTGTGTGACACAGGTTTTCTAGTGTGGGCAGACCAGAGAACGTAATATGAGGGCAGACTGCAACATTGTGCTATTTACCCTTCCCCCCCCCCCAACACTGCTCCTCGGAATGTCATTTATTTTTCATTTGGACGTCTATATTATATTTGTATGGTATGTATTATATGTCTACTATAATTTTGGAGCACTTGATATAGATAAATAGGGACAATTATTAAAAACAGTGTATAACAATTATTTTATATAGTTCCATGTCTCTCATGGTTAGACAATGAGACATATTTCTTCGAGTCATGTCTTCTTCACCGTTATTTCTTGCCTCTCCATTGGTGTGCTTAACTCCACCCACTTGATAACCATGTTATATAGTATTTTTTATATACCAGGAAAAATACAAAAAAAAAATAGCAAAAAATGACAAAACAATTTGAGAAAACCCACTTAATGGGCGGAGATACAGTAATTGATGTATTGACTCTAAATAAATATAGAATGATCTTACTTCTTGGGTTATCCCAGGTAATGTACATATGCTGCTATGTATGATAATTTATGTAACTGTATTTATGTGCACCTGTCCCTGAATAAACTTACAGTAAAGTGTTGCAGATTGCTAATCTATTTTTCTGTACGATTAATTAATTTTTCAATTTCTTTTCGATTTTATTCCCCACGATAAGGAGCCGGCCTCTTGACTCCATCCTCCAGTCTATTCTATTCCAGTCTATTCTATTGCAACGTGTTCTATAAACTTGTTTATTTAAGTTCATGTTATCATAGTGGGTTATCGATCAACTCAGGCTTCTAACATTCAATTTCATTGTTTACTTCTCTCCTGTTGTTATTCTTTTTTGCTAAAGTATCAACTTTATTTTGAAGGAGTGATCCAGTGTGTGACGGAAGTCATAACAATTGCACTAATTCCTTTTCCCCGGATTTTTGAGTATCTATATTGGGTCGTCTAGACACCACATGACAATCGTTGAGACCACACCTAGCCTGGTCGTTAAGACCACACCTTGCCTGGCTAAGACCCACACCTAGCCTGGTCGTTAAGGTTACACTACACTACACTGCTCATAAAGACTACCTCTTACTTTGTCATTAAAACGTTGCTTAAGACTATACTAGACCTCACTAGTCACGATCGCCAGGACCAAATTAGACTTGGTTGTCAAGATCACACTAGACCAGCTCCTCAAAACCACACTAGACGAGCTCAAGACCACATTATACCTGCTCATCAAGATCACTCCCAAGTAGGTTGGCAGCATCTCACAAAACTTTGCTGCCAAGATCTGTTTGTCAAGATCACAGTAGACTTTGATGTGAAGACGACATCTGTCTTGGTTGTTAGGATCACGCTGGACATGAATGCCACTATAAAAATAATCTGAACTCAGAAAATGAAACTTCTGACGACGCTTCAGTCAGTCCTGGACCATTGTCAAGTTACAGGAGAATGAAAAATATAAAAGACCCGAAGACCGAAAAGGAGGAAGGAGGGAAACCAACGTAACAATAACAGCAGAAGTATATTACCGAGAAATTCGATTAAACATAAATGATCCTAAATGGAAAATTAATAGACTTAAAAATCATTTGGGTGAAAAGAGAAGCATCTACAGGCGGATCGAAAAAGAGGCTGAGGGACTGACCACCTCAGAACTACGTCTTCCAGGGTACTGGACTGATTACATCGTCTTCACATCTATACTGTTTATATTGCCTCTGTATTCGACTTAAGAAGTCTATTGAGTAAGCGAAACGATTCGAAAAATACCTAACTTGCATATGAATCTTACTTATCAGGTCTGCTGCTGTGTTCCTCTCTTATGGTCTTAAGTAGGAGAAGTAGTGGTTGTTGGAGTAGTGTAGCAGTGATAGTTGTAGTAATAAGTGAGCAGAAGCAGCAGTTGCGATGGTGTTATTAGTGGTACCGGTAATAGAAGAGTATCGGAGTAGTAAGAGAATTAGGAATAGTAGCAGAGAAGCACTGTAGGAGAGCTGCTGGCCCACATGCATAGAGCAAAACGTCGGTTGGACAAAGCCCACCAAGGCAGAAGACAGGAATAGTAAAGAAAATGCAGAATACAGGTGAAAAAGAAATGAGATGGGGCAAAGATCAGATCAAGTCACGAATGTTCTGAAGATTAGAGCATTTGACAACGTAATGAGAAAGAGAGGCATCTACAGAAAAAAATCCAGAACTAGGATTGTGAGGAATGTTGTGTATAAGAGCAGATTCGACAAGATAGCATCTGTGAATGCTACAAGGGTGGGCAGTTTTGGCAAAAGACCAGATAAAAAGATGTTTGTGATCTCTGACAGCAGAAAGGATGGTGCCAGTTTCACCAAAATATTGGAGAAGACAAGAGAAACTAGGAGAGGTGGTAAACGTTAGAAACATCACTGACAAGAGTAGTGTGAATTAGATATTCCCCCTGACAAGTAGTAGGGACGGAGGATGTTAAGATTTAGATGAATGGAAACACGGGGAAGGCAAATAACAGAAGATTTCACAGGAGCAGAGTTTAAAAGATAAATTCTGTGTAACATAAGGGTAGGCAGAGCTTATGTAATCGGGAAGCTAGACAAGACATGAGAACAAGCTGCGAAGAATGAATATTTCAGAGTAGAGAAATTGAGGGTCACAAACTATCCAGGCATTACTTTCCTTAACAAAGGAAGCATGTTGAGAAAAGTAGTGAATGTGCATTAGCTTGCGGTAAACTGAAAAATAAAAGCCTGTCACACACTGGACATAAACATCAAAAACAGGAAGTAAAGAGTGAGATTTCCATTCAGCTTTGAACTTGATAGAAGGAGAAAGGAAACGCTGGAAGAAACTAGGTTGTACTAATGTTTCGGGTAGCATTGCACTTCTCAGCTAATACTACTCTCCTGAACTAACATAACCCCTTTCAGCTAAGTCTTCTCTTTTCGACTAACACTAGCTTCATTACTCTATTTAGCAAGCACTAACGTCACTACTCTTTTCATCTAACAGTAATTTAGCTACCCTTCTGCAGCGGGCATGACGCGAGCGGACTTAAGGTGTTAGACGCAGGCACGAGCGTGGTCTCCACGTACGAGATGAACTCTGGAGAGAACGCTGCACCAGCACCACCACGACGCTGGGGAAAGAACTGGTAGTCTTAACCACGGGAGAAAGGAAGCCATAACTAGTCTAACCACAGAAAGAAAGAAACCATGGCTAGCAGTCTTAATCACGGGAGGAAGGAAACCATGGCTAGCAGTCTTAATCACGGGAGGAAGGAAACCATGGCTAGTAGTCTTAATCACGGGAGGAAGGAAACCATGGCTAGTAGTCTTAATCACGGGAGGAAGGAAACCATGGCTAGTAGTCTTAATTAACCACGAGAGGAAGGAGGCCATGAATCGTGTTGAAATAAACATAGTAAATCAAAATTAGAATAATTTTTCTCAATCATGAGGCTATGTATTTAACTAGTACCACACATTCTTGGAGTGAAGTCACAGCAATGAAGAAATTCAATATAGCAGTTGTAGCTTATTACCAACTTCATCCTCGGCTACAGTCTTTCTTATGAAATTTCTGACCTCACTGATGTTTATAAAAATATATTGTACTTTGTTTAATAAAATGAATTATTGCATGTCCTTGGATATTACAGAATTGAATCATTTTATGAATTATTGTTTTAGAACATAGCCTTTCAGCATTTTGGTTCACTTATAACAATAAAATATTTTAAATTTCTTAGAATGTTTCAGTCTAACAACATTACAAAAGTTCATTTTTGAGGAGCAATGCATGAAGGAGTTTGTGTATCTTTTTTTTTTTTTTTTGTTACTTTGCATAGAGATGTCTTCGTGTGTTAGTTAGTTACCATTTTGTCCTAGGCACATGTCGATTAGACACTAGGCCTGTTGTACATGCGTGTGTGTGTGTGTGTGTGTGTGTGTGTGTGTGTGTGTGTGGGGTGTGTGTGTGTGTGTGTGTGTGTGTGTGTGTGGGGTGTGTATTTTATGTATATTATACCTGGAGTTTACCTGGAGAGAGTTCTGGGGGTCAACGCCCCCGCGGCCCGGTCTGTGACCAGGCCTCATGGTGGACCAGGGACTGATCAACCAGGCTGTTACTGCTGGCTGCACGCAATCCAACGTACGAGCCACAGCCCGGCTGGTCAGGTACCGACTTTAGGTGCTTGTCCAGTGCCAGCATGAAGACAGCCAGGGGTCTATTGGTAATCCCCCTTATGTATGCTGGGAAGCAGTTGAACAGTTTTGGGCCCCTGACACTTAGTGTGTTCTCTCTTAGCGTGCTAGTGACACCCCTGCTTTTCATTGGGGGGATGTTCCATCGTCTGCTTTCGGAGAGAATGACTTTCGTGTGCAAGTTTGGTACTAGTCCCTCTAGGTGATTATAAATCATTTACTAAACTGGCTGGCTCAGGGGTAAGGTGACACATATGTTGTGTTGTCTCTTAGAGGCGGGACAATGTTCGTGGGGTAGAATCCTGGCCTACCTGAGTTTGGTTATTGATATATATATATATATATATATATATATATATATATATATATATATATATATATATATATATATATATATATATATGTGTGTGTGTTGTGTGTGTGTGTGTGTGTATATAGGGAGTGTACCACGTATAGAACTTGCTGGGGACCCTCATCCTTAGAGAAGGGAAACCGTACCTCAGGGGAAAAATGAAGGTTCTCTCCCGGAAAACTGTTAATGTTTTTTCTCCCCGGTATATTATAGAATGTATTTGAACTAATTAATAGACAGAACCATTGACAGAAAACACAAACATAATCTCAATAATAATATATTAAATATATATAATAATATATATATATATATATATATATATATATATATATATATATATATACATACATACAAGGAATTCGCAAGAGCAGGCGAAATATACATAAACACCTATCTCTGGCTGAAGGAGACTCGAACCTACGAACCTTGGAACAAGGTACGCAGTGCCTTACCATTCTCACCACACTGGACAATACCTTGGCGTCCAGCTTGCGCTAGACGTTTGATCCAAGGCAGCCAGCTTTTAGGGAGAAGGCTTACAGCTTTTCATCTCATCCCCTGCATCAGCCTTACTAGGAATGAGATGAAAAGCTGTAAGCCTTCTCCCTGAAAGCTAGCTGCCTTGGATCAAACATCTAGCGCAAGCTGGACGCCAAGGTATTGTCCAGTGTGGTGAGAATTGTAAGGCACTGCGCACCAAGGGGAGATAAATCACTGATTTATCTCCCCTTGAATTATGTAAAAAACATGTAAAAAATATAAAAAAAGTATGCCTTCCCCATCACAAACTGCCCACGACAGAGGGATGAACCTGACTCGGAAAACCAGCATCAAAAGCCCTGAAAGTCAAGGAGAAGACATTTGTGAGAATCTCGCTCAAAGGAAAACAGTAGAAGAGATAGATAGATAGATAGATAGATAGAGAGAGAGAGAGAGAGAGAGAGAGAGAGAGAGAGAGAGAGAGAGAGAGAGAGAGAGAGAGAGAGAGAGAGAGTTGAGCCCAAGATTGCTTAGAAGATGTGCAGACCAGCTAGCAGCACATCTAACTCGCATCTTTCAGCACTGCCTAGTACAGTGTAAATGACCCTCTCTACGGAAAGAGGCAAATGTAGTCCCTGTTCACAAAAAGAAGAGCAGAGCAGAAATCAGCAACTACAGACCAGTGTCACTCCTGTCAATCACTGGTAAGATCCTTGAGACAATAATCTCAAGACAAATGACAGAGTTTTTTTGACTACCACTCACTTTGTGATCGTCAATATGGCTTCAGGAAAGGTTACTCTGCTGCTGATCTGTTGTTAAACCTCTCCACTAAGTGGCATCAGTCACTGGATGACTCCAAAGTCAGCTGTGTGGTAGCACTGGACATTGCTGGTGCTTTCGACCGGGTGTGGCACCAGGGCCTCTTAGCAAAACTTCAAGCACTGGGAATTGCAGGCTCTACGTTATGTCTCCTAAGTGATTATCTTCATGGTAGATCTCTAAGTGTAGTTCTCAATGGAACGGAATCAGCAAGACATCCTATTGGGGCAAGTGTTCCACAAGGAAGCGTACTGGGACCAGTGTTATGGAATGTCTACGTCAACGACCTTCTTCATCTCATCCCAGAATCACATTCATATGCAGACGACTGTACACTGACATTCACTTATCCAAGAGAAAAAATGCCAGCTGCTCTAAGCTACATCAATCACCAGTGAGAGCTATATCAGCTTGGGGAAATAGATGGCAAGTAACATTTGCACCTGAGAAAACGCAAATGATGATCGTCTCTAGGCACCATGATGGTAATGCTGGTGCAGTAGTAAGGATGAATGGGAGGGCGTTGGCACCTGGAGAAGAAGTTGATATCCTTGGGATGAAATTTGACTCCAAACTAACCATGAAGGACCATGTTGTAAATCTTGCAAACAAGGCAGCCAGGAAGCTTACAGCACTTCGCCGTATCTCGCATCTGCTTGACAGTAGGGGTTGCAAGATTCTGTACGAGGCACAAGTACGCTCACACCTTGAGTATGCTCCACTTTCTTGGTTTGCCTGCCCCCCTCTCATCTGCGACTGCTTGACAAAGTGGAGAACAGAGCAAGACGTCTCATCTCTCGCCTGGACCCATCCTGGATAGATCTGTCATTTCAGCAGAGCCTTCAACATAGGAGGGATGTGGGTGGCCTTACTGTTATGTACAAGGCCAATATTGTCAAAGTACCACACTTGGATCCACTTCGAGGACAGCGTGAAACAAGCTTTTATGCCACAAGACGGGCAGAAAGCAGCGACTTCACACTGGCTGTACTCTTTTCCAGAACATCTGAGATCATATATACCCAAGATGACTCGAGTATGGAACACATTCGTACAGCATAATGATGTCAACGAGATAAAGTCAGTTGATCAAATGAAAATGCTGGCCCACAGATGGCTCCAACTTCATCCTGTTCCCTACTTGTATGTCTCATAACAATAAAAATGCTTTCAAATGAGCTGATGTAGGTAATAGCTCTTAGCTTGCCAATAAAGTTAGGAATCCTTAACCTGTAAATAGCTTGTCAATAAAGCTAGGGATCCTTAACCTTGTCAAACCCTGTGTAAAAAAAAAATGACAGACAGAATAAGATTAAAGCGGCGATACCAGGAAGAAAAACAGCAAAAGACGAGAAGAAAAAGAGTGATGATGAGAACAGCCAAGACCTAGCATAAGGGTTTATTTAATATTATTATTATTACTATTTTCATTATTTCTTTGTGTTGGAGCATTCCTTGCCATGTTATATAACGTAACAGATTTGCGTCACAGAGCGTGTGGAGGAGCATGCAACCTCATCATCAACACCTCCTCCAACTTCAACAACAATAATGATAACAGCAGCAAATCATTATATACTATATATATATATATATATATATATATATATATATATATAATATATATATATATATATATATATATATATATATATATATATATATATATATATATATATATTATATATATATATATTATTGTACCCGCGAACAAGTGGTATTGATCAATAAAAACACTGCGACTAGTCAAGAAGTCGAACCCAAGCTGCTTTGGCCTGCCTCATAGTGGGCGTAAACTCATGACACGAGATCACACAGTCCTTAAGAGTAGCGCATCCAGCAGAACTGGATGTTGCTGTGGTCCCGTGGATTAAGTCCCACCATTTGGCAGGCCAAAGCAACATGGGATCGACTTTTTGACTAGTCATAGTGTTGTTATTGATCAATACCACTTGTTCGTGGGTACAATAATATGTAATATATAATATATGTATGTCATGCCGAATAAGTAAAACTTGCGATTTTGGCTTATATAGCAACGCTTATATAGGACGCGTGGAGTGATTTGCTTACTCTTGAACATCGGCAAAAATCGAACATTTCTGCTAATTTGAGCACAATTTAAAGGTACTTTGCATCATGAAACCAATCAATATCTCTATTTCTGTAACATATCTTCCATTCTATCAAGAGAGACCAAGAAAACGAGAATACAACCGTAAATATTATACAAAAATACACTACCAAGTCACTGTTTTAAACCTAAAACACCGGAGTTTTTTTTTCTCATTATGCACTGCGTGCTTAAGAATTTTTTTTTATACTGTGCACACTGACGACACAGACCAATTCTTTCATATTTGGGCCAACAATCTTTCTTCCAGTAGATCTGAAGGCACTAGAATTTATGCTTATAAAAAAGTAAATAACCCAAAATGCTCTGATAACGGAGCTTCTATAATGTATGTTTAAAGGTAAAAACCTTTCTGTATAAGGTGATGTTGTCAGAAGGATTGGGTTTTAGAAAGGTTTTGTCAAAAAACGGAAAGTTTCCCTTTACGGGGGTTTTTTCATGTGTTTATACAAGGACCAAAAGCAACAAAATCATCTCATGCATACCTTCTTCTCAATTCTCTCTTTGTTCTTAAACGTGCATTCATTAAAATTTCGTTGTTAAAAAAATTAACAAAAATTGATTGGGTTGAAAAGACCCATAAAAATAATAATAAAAATAATGATAATAAAATAATAATTAATAATAATAATTTTTATTAGGACATGTTTCATAGTTGTAAAGTTTTTTAACAGTGTTGGGTGTTACATGTAAAAAAGCCCCTTGGATGCAGAGTTTATGGGCACAATAAGTGACTGAAACAATTCTTTCT